GGGGCGGGGCCACGCCTATATCCTGGTGGGGCGGCGGGGTGGAGGGCCTTGCGCCTCGCCTGTGGGGCGGGTCACGTCCGTGAAAGGGCGGGGAAAAGGGCGGGGTGAGGGGCGAGGCCCAGAGGCCGACCCTCCAGATCCGAATCACAGGTAATTTGCCTAGTTGTTGCCCCGTTGGCCTCCCCACCGTCCATCCGCTTTGGATCCCCAGCACCAATTTATGGGATGCACCTTTTCCCCAGCACCTTCTCACGGAACACGCCATCAAACCTGGATTGCTGCCAATCTGACAACTCAAGAAAATCTGTGGGAAAACACTCATTAGATATTCCTCTAGGCCTTTTCTACCAAGGATGTAAAAAAAAAAAAATACACCTATGTCCCTGCGCAGATGCACTTGTGCACACAGGCCGGCTGCATCCATCTCTCTGCCTGGAGCATCCTGAGGACGCTGAGTGAGGTTGGAAAGGACCAGTGGGTGTCCGCCGGAGAGCCATCCCCCAACGGAGTGACTGGTGATTGGATTGCTGGTGGGAGGGAGCACTGTGGAGACACTCACCGGAAGTGGAGGAAGAGCATCGGGAGCCCAGGGCTGGGAGACCTGAGCTCCAGTCCAGATGTGGGCAGCCAAGGGGTGTGCCCTGGAGCATCTCTTCCCCCCTGTCCATGGGGCTTGAACTCAGGGCCTAGGCACTGTCCCCGAGCTTCCTTTGCTCAAGGCTAGCAACCCTACCACTTGAGCCCCAGGGCCACTTCCAGCTTTTTCTGTGTACTGAGGAATTGAACCCAGGGCTTCATGCATGCTAGGCAAGCACTCTACCACCAAGCCACATTCCAGCCCCATGGGTGACACTTTCTCACTAGGCTATTTCAGAATGCTTACATCAGCCCTTAGTGGGTGCCCATGATGGTGGTGATTGTCCTCTGGCACCGGCACTATCCTGTTCAGTCATTTTGACAATCTGGGGTGGGGCACAGAGATTAACACTAATTATAATCAAAGCTCTAATTTGCTGAGGAGGCAAAGGAGGCTCAGAGAGGTTGATGCATTGCCCCAACACACACAGCAAGCAGTGAGAAGTTGAGAGGGACATGTACATGTGACTCTCCACAAAGATGCTGGGTCAGGTCCAGGATGACCCTGCAACCCACAGAAGCACACCGACTCTAGGGAAGACTCTCTTACCAGGAAGGAAAGCGATTTGGAGAAAAAGCCTCAGAAAACCGTAAAAGCAAGGCCCAAGGGAACTGATCCGGAGCCCAGCCCACGCGCCCAGCTTTGCAGGCTGAGCCTCACAGAGCTGGGAGCGGAGGGCGGAGCCCGCGAGCCCCGCTGCAGTTCCGAACATCGACACGCGAGGGCGCCAGAGCCGCGATAGCCGCGGGCGGGGACTACCGTAATAACCACAGGTGTGCGCAACACAGGCCTTTCCTCCATTGAAGGGGCTAGAGGAGAAAGAGGAGTTAAGGACTTGGGAGGGTGGAGCTGAGCAAGACCTTCATCCTACAGGCCTATCCCAGTCCAAAGGCGGAGATAATAACATTACCTAAAGCAAAGGGAATTCAATGAGTCAGTTTCCAAAGACTGCTCTGCCACCCCACAAAGCCTAGAGAGGAAACTTCCTCTGTGTCTGCCTCCAAGATGGCAGCTCCTTTGCAGGGGTCCCAGTCTTTGGGAACAGATCTGACCCCTGTGTTGGAGTCATTATGCCTGGCCTCTCCCTATTGCCCTGTCCCCTCCCAGATCACTGCCAGCCTGAGTCAGACTGACTCAACTCTGTACTCTGCCAAAACTACAACCTAACAAGACTTGGAAGCCGGCCACCGGTGGCTCACGCCTGTAATCCTAGTGACTCAGGAGGCTGAGATCTGAGGATCGTGGTTCAAAGCCAGCCTGGGCAGGAAAGTCAGTGAGACTCTTATCTCCAGTAAACCACTAGAAAACTGGAAGTGGCGCTGTGGCTCAAGCAGTAGAGCACTAGCCTTGAGCTAAAGAGCTGAGGGACAGTGTCCAGGTCCAGAGTTCAAGCCCCATGACCGACAAAAAAAAAAAAAAAGACTCGGCAAATGTTACAAAAGTTCATGGAAGAGAAAATAAACCTGTGAAAAGACAGCAACGTTACAAAAGAAAAAGAAACGGGCCAGGCCCTGCTGGCTCAAGCCTGTAATCTACTCAGGGGGCTGAGATCTGAGGAGCATAGTTTGAAGTCAGCTGAGGCAGATAAATCTGCGAGCCTCTTATTGCCAACAAACTGACAATAAGCTGGAAGTGGAGCTGTGGCTCAAGTGGCCAAGTGGTAGAGTGCCAGCCTTGACCAAAGAAGCCAAAATAGCTAGATACCTTGAGTACAAGCCTCAGTATTGACAGAGAGACAGAGACAGAAAGCAGCTGTCAGAAGTGTGTGTGTGTGTGTGTGTGTGTGTGTGTGTGTGTGTGTGTGTGCACTGTGTATGTATCTGCTAGTCATGAGGCTTGAACTCAGAGCCTGGACACTGTCCCTGAGTTTTTGGGGTTTTTTTGGTCAATCATGGAGCTTGAACTCAGGGCCTGGTGCTGTCCCTCAAGGCTAGCTAGCGCTCTACCACTTTGAACCACAATTCCACTTCCAGTTTTGTGGTGGCAATCCCGTGGATGGGGGAAGGGGGGCGCCATGCAGGGCCCAGTACGCACGTGGTTTCTGGCCCTGACATTAACCCTCTTCTCCATCAGCTTCTTCATCCTCTCGATGTGGTTCTGGCGGGCGGCCTGGTGCAGCTGCTTCTCCAGGGGGAGCACTGGGGGGGGGGGTCATGTCAGTGAGAAGAGGATCCCCCCACTCTGTAGAGCTGCTCTTCTGGAAAAAAAGGCCAAGTGCCAGTGGCTCACACCTGCAGTCCTAGCTACTCAGGAGGCTGAGATCTGAGGATTGCAGTTTGAAGCCAGCCTGGGCAAGAAAGTCTGTGAGACTCTTATCTCCAATAAACTACATAGAAAAAGCCATAAGTGATGCTGTGGCTCAAGTGGTAGAGCACTAGCCTTTAGCACAAAGAGGCTCAGGGACAGTGCCCAGGCCCTGAGTTCAAGTCCCAGGACCAGCAGAAATTTTTTAAAAAAAGGAATGTCTTGCCTTTTCCTGTTCTGCCCTCCAGACTTTGCCTTCCTCCTCCCCTGCCCACAGGCCTGGCTCTGTGGGAAGGAGAAAGGGGAAGAAGGAAGATCAAAGAGTGGGTAGTGGGTGGAGTTGAACTAGAGTCCATACGTCAGGGCCAGTGGTCACTGGCACTTAAACACATTGTGTCCTGCACAACTCTAGGATGCACCAGAGTCCTCGACATTGAAATTTGCATAGGTATTAGCATAGGATGATGGGGGGGGGGGGGAATACCCCCAGAGAAAGAGCATCCTTTTCTGAATAGAATGAAACCTAAGAGCAAAGAACATCATAAGGACTCAGGTGTGGACTCACGCCTGCAATCCTAGTGACTCAGGAGGCTGAGATCAGAGGATCGCAGTTCTAAGCCAACCTGGGCAGAAAAGTCCGAGAGACTCTTATCTCTAGTTAACCAGCAAAAAGCCAGAAGTGGAGCTGTGGCTGAAGTGGTAGAGCACTAGTTTTGAGCAAAAAAAAAAAAAAAAGCTTAAGGACAGCACCCAGACCCTGAGCTCAAGCCCCCAAATGAACACACACACACACACACACACACACACACACACACACACACACACACACCATTGTCTGCACAGGGCTAGCCTAGAAGTAGCCCTTGGAGCAGGTCAAGGAGGGCCCAGAGGGAAGGGGGCAAGAGACTGATTTGGTTTCCTCTGGGCCTAACAAGCCTCCCTTCCTTCCATTCCCCTGCCCTGTTTTTCTACCACCCTCTTCTCCTTGGCCAGTAGGCCTGATGCCCCAGCCTGGTCCTACCTGGCTACCTCGCATTACACAGCTCACACCCTGCCATACCTCCAGGCCTTTACCCTGCCAAAGCCCTTCTCCTCCCCCTAACAACAACAACAACAACAAAGCTAAGTCGCATGCATTGTTTAGGGCCTGGCTCAGGTGTCACCTTCTCTATGAAGTCTCCAGTCCTACCAGTGAGAAAAGAACTTCAGCCAGGTGCCAGTGGCTCATGCCTAGAATCCTAGCTCCTCAAGAAGCTGAAATCTGAGGATCGTAGTTCAAAGCCAGCCCCAGCAGGAAAGTCCATGAGACTTTATCTCCAATTACCCACCAGAAATCTGGAAGGAGCGCTGTGGTTCAAAGTGGTAGAGGACTAGCTTTGAGCTGAAGAGCTGAGGGACAGCACTGAGGCCTGGATTTCAAACTCCATGACAAAAACAAACAGAAAAGAACTTTACTTCTTGTGGGGGCCACAGCTCAGGGTCCCACAGCCCAAGGAGCCCTACAATCCTGGTGTCTGTCTTCCCTACCTCCATATCTGTCTATATAACACGGAGGGAAATTGTCTATTTTGGGGAAGTGCAGATACTTATAAATTGCTACATGGGGCACAGTTGTAGTCAGCCAACCCTAAATGGGTGGGGAGGGTGTGAGGCAGCATTTCTGCTCTACTCTAGATCTTTCT